CGAACCTCGTTATAGTCAGGTGTAGAAACGCCTTTTCCTTTGTATTTGATTGATTAGGGGTTCGGGCATTATCAACTAGAGTACACCTTACACTGTAATTAAGCAGGCTGTAGAAGTATTCTCAGTATTCTCAGAAGTAGTCTCAGTACACTTCCATGTTCCATAGATCACCTAATATGTCTCTACATGAGCCTGCACTTGTCTTTGAATTTTTTGGTAAGTCAAAGCATGTTCTCATAAGATTAATCAGCATTACTCCCCAAGACCGGTTTCTTAAGCCGTTTATACTTATTTCGCATTTCAGAGTGTAAAATCGGTCTTATATACTAGAGGTGCGTCTAATTTTCCTAACAACGGCTATCGTTCGAGACTTTTTACATGAAGTCCAGCTATTTTTCAGAAGCTCCTAGAGTAAGTTTAGCCTCTGGTGGTGAGTAAAATACGTGCCAAAGTCAAGCGAAAAATAATGGGAAATAAAATATCCAGCGATTTCTCCTCTGTTATTTACTCCTAAACTGCCAAAAATGCAAATTAAGTATTTTCATTTCATTTGATTTTATAATTTCCTCCGCCAAAAGCCGCTGGTAAGCTATAATTTTACAAATTATCTCGACACAAGTCGCAGCTTAAGGTGTGTCTCCACCAGCACTCATTAGAGTGTCTTTTTTTTTGTGCCGTCATTGTTGCGGCTTAACTCTTGCTTCAAATTCTCTGTACAAACAAAAAGTAAAATAAGAAAAACAACAACAATAAGAAGAAGAGGAAGAAGAAGAAGAAAAAAAGCACTTTGTCTATGCGCTGTCAGTGGAAATTTAGTCGCATTAAAATGCTGTAAATTACAGTTTGAAGATTTTCCAAGCGGAAAGCCGCATTGTATGAACGTTTGTGTGTAGGTGGTATTTCCGTGAAAAATTATTTAGGGAGTGTTAAATGTGTAATTTGTATTTAAATTTTGGATATTAAATAATAAAGGAGGGTGTGTTAAATCTCTTGCGGTTGATATTCGTAGATGACAGTGGCATTTAATGGGAGCGGAAGTGTTGGTTAATAGATACTCGTATGTAGTTAAGGTATATTTTATATACATACATATGTATATGTGGTTAGTTTGATAAATTACAAACATATTTTATCTTTTATTAACCTTTTCACACTTTAAACTAAAAATAATGAAAAGGTTCGTTTGGTTCCGCTGGGTGGTCTAATAAATTTATTTTATTTTCAAACGCAATTAATTTTTTGCTGTATCTACTACTTACGACTATAAACAATAAGGTATACAAATCTTAAAACTAAATTAAAAACTTTTTAGCTCGAGTTGACTCGAAGCCAATTTTGTAAGTATGATGCTCTCATTATGAGATAGAAGCATCTCTTCTTTGCCTTTGGGAATTTTCGAATGAGTTACACTAAGCGTTAGCTAATGGGTTGGTAAGATTTTTTATTTTTTTTTTGGGTACTACGTTCTACTCCTTCCAGCTACAGGCTCAGCCATAAGATTACAAAGGCGCTTATGTACAGAGTTTTCCAATTAGGGTTGTATTTTGATATTCAAACTAAAATTACATTTTTTGAAATGAATGATTCTACATTGAAATAATTCAAATAATAAACAATATCACCCAAATGGTCGCCACGGTTACACTTACAGAACCGTAACCTTTTAATAAAATTTTCCATCAGCAAATCGAAAAGTGGCTGCTGTATGCTCTCAAAACCTTCACGAATTTCATCTTTGAGGATTTGAATCGACGTTGGCCTGTTGGCGTAGAGCGTACATTTCACGTGTCCCCAGAGGGTGTTAAATCACAAAAATCCGGTGACCAATAGCGATCACCTCTTCGAGACATAATACGGCTCAGTAACTTTTCCCTTAAAAGATCAATGGTTTCGTTGCTTGTGTGGCATGCGGTGCAGTCTTTTTCGAAAGTAAACGTTGTCCAGAGCAAAATCATCCTATTTCGGGCATAAAAAATCATTAATCATCTCTCGATAGCGCAATACATCATATTGCTCCAGCATCATTTTCAAGTAAGTATGGCGAAGCATAAACCGCAACAAACAGTTATGGGTACAGAGGCGTTTCAATAATAACTCCTGGGTTTTTCGAGTCGCAGGTTTCGGCCTCGTCATTCAAGATGTTTTTTCGTTGAAATTCCTTATCATTTTCATGCATTCCAAAGTCAGAAACAGCAAAGATACGATTTTGTTGCTGATCGGTCGACTTGAGTGCTTTTGTGAGCTGAACTTTATAAACCTTAGACTCAAGTAATTAAGCCACCTACGATGTATTGTCGTTTTTGGATCGCCCAATTCTAAGAACGAGAAATGGACAAATCAGGGTTGTTTTCAACACTTTGGTCTACATCGGCAGTATTCTCAGTTCTTCACATTACTTCACATTACTAACTTGTCCCAACAGTGCCATTTTTTCCACCTATTTCTGTGTTTCAAGACAGCCGAAAAATGTTTTAGTTTCACGAACCTTCTCTGTCGCTTTTTCATCAATTATTAAGGTGAATTTTAACAATTTCAATGCCTTGTTGAAGCATGTATCGTTCTATTTTCATTACTGGCATAGTTTTACTTGTCAAATAATGCATCAAAAATAACATCTACCGGAATATTAGGCTACGAAAAATATCACCTCCTATCGGAAAACCCTTCGTAATATAGGCCCAAGAATTTTATCTCGAGAAACAACAGCTTTAACAGGAAACTCATTAGCGATAAACTCCGCCGGTTAGACAGATATTTTATATTTTTCGATAGGCAAAGTTTTATAAATTTTGGACAATGGGCCTTTATGCCAAAACTTGTCGTCAAGAATGCCTACCTAGTTCCATTAGTTTTCGGTTTGGATGAAGATGATAATTTGGAAAGACAGGGCAGTTGAATGGTCGTCTTACAAACTAATAAATAAGAAGACGTCTGGCCTTTGTATGGCCTTTACCAGGTTTGGCCACCATTAATATATGCGATTTTTCGCCAAAATTTGAAACATAACCTAGTTTCAGAATAGCTGTAAAGAGTTCAGAGAATAATGCTATTGCAACTCTTTTAGCATTTTTGGTGTGAACACTTCATAGCCAGAAAGACTGCGTTTGAAATGCCTTGTAATGTTATCATATCTTGGAAATTATCTCAATTGTTATTTTTGTAAAGCGCCTTCAAAATGCGCTGAAGTACTGTTTAAAGTAATTTCTAAAGTAAGGTACCTTAAGGTTTCAGATTCTTCATCTCCTTCTGCAGAAGTACAATAGTTTAAGTTAGTTTATGCTCAGATTCTCTACGTGCCTGTCTGTAGCGTAAAATGACCATTCGTTGCAGATATTTTCATTCCTTTTACCAAGATAAGCTCTCAAAGCCATCTTTTATTTAATGTCAATTATATGAGCCAGGTTAGGTATCTTTAATTTTAAATTATCATCTATGACGAAGAACTCTAGTACAGTGACCTTACAAGTAGAGTGCTGCCTGCTTAGATTCTATGATTTTGACGAATGAGGAAACAAAGTAATTACTCGTAAGCTCATTTGGCCCCCATCCTAGGTGATCTTCAAATTGTATGGTGGGCTTAAAACTAAAGTTCTGAAATTTCTTCTTTTTAATTATATTATGACTACTTTCAAAAATACCCTGATGATCTTCAAATTGGTATTTTGCCCTAAGCGACGAAACGAAATTTTAACTTTTTTCTTTTCAATTCTTTTATTTTTGTGAAAAAGTTTTCTGATTTTTAATGATGAGCCGAATCAATTATGTCCTACGAAACTTTAAACAGTTTCGGTTAGAAAGTTTTCAAATTTTTTCTCTTTAATTCTGTTATTTTTACAAAATAGTCTACAGTTCTTTAGCTGACGATATGCCTCTGAAGTTAAAATAGTTTTTGGCTTCAACTTAAAGTATGAAAATATTTTTTTTTTTTTTTATTTTTTTTTTTTCATACTGTATCCTGTTGTTTTTGAAATCAGATTTACTATGAAGCTCCAAAATTTTTTTATCATAAATTCTATTATCCTTGACTGATGTTTACCCACTAGCAGTTCCAATCAATCTGTGTTTCGTCTTTAGTTTTAAAGTAGTCAGTTTTTTCTTTTAATTCCTATATTCTTGCGAAATTTTTTTGACGATTTTTTCAGGACGAACTAACAGTGATATCTTTCTGAACTGAAAATATGAATCGCGACTATGTGTTTTAAAGTCTTGTCTATATTTGCCCCTCCTTTCTCTACTCACAGCAGTGCCATCACTTGCTAGGTAAATCTATTTGCATTCAAATTTGTCACTTCAACTGGCGTTGCTGTCGCAGTTTCTTTTTATTTTCCTGTATAAGCATGTACATACATACATATGTACATATTTTGTTAAACTACAAGTGTTCTCTGACTTGTCTCCAAAACCGTCTATGCGATATTGATATGCCTTTGATGTACGACTCACAGCTGCTGCAGCGCGTATGAGCCGCTAGCTGTTGTTATTGAGTAGAGAGAGGACGGGTGGTGAAAGAGAGGTATGTTGACAGGTAATATGTCACGCCAGTGATGTTTTTATATATATTATACTCGTACTTAAGTATGCACAATATGCTGTTGGTCGTCTCCATTTCTTGTTGAATATAAAAATTACATTATTTTTCACTCGTGTTTACATGGCGCCATATTACTTCCTCTGTGAGACCCTGTGTAAGCGCTCGCTTGTCGTTGCCAGCTGGCAAAGAAACTGCTTGGCGAAAGCTATTTATTTCCTGGCAACTTTCTTATTTATGCTATGCATATTTATTTTTCGCCTTAACTTCTGTCGCCGCTTGCCAAGCGTGTGGCATAAGTCTCATATTGATTTATTTTTTATTTTTCTCTCAAAGGAGCATGAATCTTTTACTGGCTACAAGTTGCAAGCTGGCACAAGAAATCAATCATAATTTACGCTAATAACTAAATTAGTTTACGTCATTTACAGTGAGCTAAATATACTTAGAAATATTAATGATTGTAACTTACCGTAAATAGGCAACTCGCCACACAAACCGCCGCCCAAGAGCCAACCCAGTAGCGTAGAACAGTACGCTCTTTTTCCGGAAAGAACATGGCATGACAAGGCGCGCCACAATCACGTAATTCCTGTGTAGGAGAGAGAGAGAGAGAGAGAAATATATCTATTAATATTTCAATTACAAAAAATACATGATTTTGACAAATAGCTTTGGCTGCTTTATAAGGGAAAGATTTATATAAAACTTCTCCTTATTGCTTGGGTGGCTTAAAAGGAATAACTGAAGTCTCTACCGAAGTCAAATACCTCGGAATAATAACAAATAGCAAACTCAGCTGGAGCGGCAACTGCAAACCCGGCGAAAAGATCGGCGAGAAGTACCGCAGGCAGAGCGGTCTTTGGCACAAGATGAGACCTAAAACTCTTCATATTTTATTGGTTCTATACGGCAGAGGGGTCTGATCCCCTTCTATTCTTCTACTAGTGGCCAGCACTCGAAAAAACTACTTTCAGAAGTCGGTCGGCAACTATTATCAATACGGCAGCTCTATCGTAGGACCCATCACTCCACTCTTTTTAATGTTCTTGCACCGGATTTTTAAGACTGTTAGACTTGACGCGTCTCAGCCTTAGAGGTAGCGCGGGGCACTTCCGTTTAGTTTCTGGTGGAGTTAGACAACGCAATATCTGCTCAAAACTCCATGAAAGGGCAGACTGTGGCATACACTCCTCAACGTTCTCAACCAATTTTAATGTGAGGCTACAAGATTACTGCAGCGTCTTCCAAGTATAGCTTATTGCGAGTACGGGAGCCGCAGAGTGGTAGCTGGAATCTCCGGTTACAGACGAAGAGCTTGCTTAAAAAGCAACGCCAGCTGGCTTAGCGAAAGACCTGCCTAGTCAGGTGATTTGATTTGTGTTCGACGCTAAAAGATTGAGGAATTTAATCCGCCCAAACCGGCTGCCATTAATATAATAACAGCCATACTAACTGGACACTGTTTAATGGAACATCACAGTAGAGACTCAGAAGAGGAAGAGTCTTTCGAGCACTGTCCAACCATAAGCAATATACGTCATAATTACCTAGGGACATCGGCTCATATAGGCACTATCGCTTCGTACGTAAGACAAACGAAAGAGTTCCAACATCTGAGAGGTTAGGAAGCACATGCCAGCGGTAGCACAATGGGCCTAAGGCCTAAGTGCGCCAGTCGCTCTGATTAGCAGCCTTATCAACTCAACTCAATTCTTTATTACTTAGAGAAAGCGCCGTTTTGATTGAGCTTAGGTTTGGTTACAGTAACTGACTGCTAAGCTAATGGTTTCAGAACCATCAGAAAGAGATTCCATTTCACACGCGGCGTAAGACGACAAATGTTCTCCCAAAGCTAAGAACTCTCTGACATCTGGTTTTGAGACTTCTCTTTAATAACCAGTTTATCTCTCAATACTTATTAGGAAGTAAATATATTAACAAGTCTCTTAGGCATTAAAAATAGTTCAAATCAGAGTCTTCAAAGGAGATTCCCAACAAAAGCCACAATCAATCACTAATTTTTAGATAGAAGAGAAACGTTTACAGACTTATTTTACTCGACACTCGCTACTAAAGGAGCTAATAAGGTGAGCCTACTCAAAAACTCGTCTACCGAAATTATTTTTTTTTAGCAAATTATGAAAACTTTAAAAACCTCATTTGGGATAGGTACAAGAGAGAAGAACCTCACAGCTTTCGGACTTTGCATCATGTTAGCAACCTCATTGCAGAGACGAATGTAACTTTAAAGGAGAGTTTAAAGTACTCGTAAAGTGCTTTTGGGTAGGGAGAACAGGACTAGCAAACCCATTGCGAAAGTACCTTCAAGTCTGAGTTTGTAGTAAACTGCTTTTGGATAGGATGTTAGAATGAACAGAGCTAACAAGCTCAGAGCAAAGGTAACTTCATATGAGAGTTCGGAGTAAAGTGCAGTTTCCTAAAGAGTCAAATGGTTTCAGAACTTTTCAGATTCGTTCTATCCACCTTCACTCTAGTAGATACACGTTTAACTGTTAAAAAAAAATTAAATATGGTCATTAGTTTATCTTAAATAGTAACAACAACTACTCGGCATTAAAATACAATATTATTTCAAATGTACATAATTTTTAAATTTATTTTGCCGCCACCACCTCTCTTTCGCTTATCTCTTTTTGGCCGCCCAAACACACAGCAGCCGGGCGTATAAATGTACATTTTTCGAGCATTTAAATCAACCAAGAAACATTATGTGCGCCACAGGAAACCAATTTAGGTTACAGGTACTTCATCCAATCCTATTTTATAGCAAAAATATTTATGAACTTTAACTATCGCCATTTTAATATGCCATAAAGTAGATTTAATAGTGATCAACTGAAGCAACACCACAGGAAACGAGCGACGCTGCTGTTAAGCACTTAAGCAGTTAAGCGAAGCCAAGGGAAAAGGGCGGCCGGGCAGTAAGATTGGCTCAGGAAGATGAGCTTATTAAAAATTCAAAATTCAACGGCAAGCATATTGAATGGGACAGGGATATGAAGATAGCAGTGGAAGTGAGTAGACTGCTGAAACAACAGGCAAAGCGCATGAAATCATATCAAAGTAGGTAAGTATTTGTACGACCTACACCCCTGGCGTGTGATTAAATATTAAAGATGTCAGTTGTAAGGCCCCTAAAGAGCTACAGCCAAAGCGAGAGCAGGCAAAAGTAGAGCTAGGAGTTGGACACACGAAGGCAAAAGGAAGAAAGAAACTAAGGAAACACAACCGCATATGAAGGCGGGCTCAAGTAAATTATAGCAGAGGTTATATGCCCACAGGCCCAACGCAACAACAGCTGCTCAAGCTCAAGCAATTTGCCGCAAATGAAATATGTACGCCGTACAATGTTTGCCGCAAGCGTTAAACCGATAGATGGCTGATGGTGAGTGAAATATTTTATGCGCGTAAACTCTCTCGTTGTACTCTTATAGGAGGTAAGTATATTTCGTGTGTTTTCTTATCATTAACATTATTTATATACGAGTACAGGCGTACATATATCACTCTCATTTCAGTTCAGTTGTAGAGCCTACATACAATATGCAGCTCCTAAGAGACCAAACCGAACAGGAGACCAAAAGTCAAGTTGGCAGCGGTGTGGCGGTATCTTGTGATGCGATTTTTGTGGCGCATAATTTACCAGCAATTCAACGTTGAACACAGTATCAACGATTTGGCTTGAAGGCTAGCAGAATAAAAGAAATAAAAAAAAAAAATTTTTTTTTGGGTTAGATAAAATGGAAGACTGCTGCTCTTTGTCTTCTTCCACAAGCACACAAAGGCACAAATAACCACTTTAAACAGGCAGAACTCATAGAGCGTACACCGCGACCTACAGTGGTAATGCGCCGCACAATGCATAATGACTCTGCGCTCCGTGGCGCGCGGGCATCTTCTGCTTAACTACGTTGCGATTCTGCTGCTGCTCTACTACAGTCATTTCCCCAAGGGATACATCAAAAGAAAAAAAAAAAAACAAATTTGAATGTGAAAAACGTGTCCATTGACAGTGTTGAACCAAAATGAATGAGAATGCACAATGAATGTGGCGTAATGAGTGCGTTGCATGTGGCAGGCGCACAAAATGTATACGAAAAGCGCGCCGTGAGCAAAGCAAAGCGACGTAGGCAAACACGCCGTGCATTGTTGCCAAATTTCAATAGATTCTGCGTAGCGTAAAATGAAGTATCATCTAATGAGGATATTGTAAAGTGTTTTTCGAATTTAGTCTCTTTGAGACGTGTTTTATGCGTGAACACTTTGCTGCGTGTGAGGAATTGCTGGTAAAGAACTACTCTCTCAAGCACGATGTTTATACTGTAAGTCCACTAAATATTACTCAGTTCAGTCTACAACGATGACAAGGCAATCCGATAGGTTGAAGAACCTTCCATTGACCACCTAGAAAGAACAAACAAGCAGCATGACCGAGCCATCACTGCTGCCATAACGACCTGAAAGCCATCAACATTAAAATGTCAAGAGCGTGTAAAACAAAAAAAAAAGCAATAACAATAACAAGCCCAGATAAACATAAATATTATGAAAAGCCACATGCAAGCGTTCCACCAAAGAGGAGCCATGCAACAGACATACATACACCAGAGGGAGTAACAAAATTGAAGTGAAATCTTTGATTACTTAAAAACACCCGCTGGCGTTGAACTATCAAAGCATCGAAGGTACAAAACAGAGCGAGCAGGGAGAGAGAACGTAGAATGGACTGTGGGCTGGTTGGCTCTGGATGTTTGAAGTTAGCCTGTGTACAGCAAAGAAGGTGAGCTCGTTGTTGTCTAAGCTATTACCCAGCCGTTGTGTTGCTACTCAACCGGGCATTTAAGCAGATTTTAATTTATTGTAGATAAAAGACAGACACTGTGTGTGCCTACAGCTGTAGATTGTGAGGCCGGCACGCATGTTTACAGAGTTTCCCATATACATATGTCTATTACCTACGTGCATGTGTAACACCCACTAAAATGTAAAGCAAGCAGCTGTGTTGCATGGACCTAAACGTTTTGCTTCTCCGGTTTTTTTGAGTCTCTCCAACGATTCAACGATTTTCACCCGCTGGCTAAGTGAGTCCATATACTGTGTAAGTGGAGAAATATTCATATGAAATGGGCTGGAATTCGGACAAGTGATGTAGTACAAACAAAGCGTTGTTGTTGTATTTAAGTTACGAGTTTGAATATTTGAAGCCTTGCAGTGAAGCTTGAGTTTATTACTGGGTGGGCAGGGTGTACCTGCCCGTGGATAGACAGCAAAATACTAAAGATGGATTGCATGTTCGACTGCATGGCTGGATGGATAGCTCAATGGCTAGTAGTGTAGGCATACATACATACATAAAAGGTAAAGCATTTAACCAAAAAAAAAAAAAAAATAACAAATGTAAAGGGTAGCAGATTCGATTAGCTAGTGAGGGCAAGTTAAAATTTTGCATTTCTGTGGAAAAGATGTTTAGAGTACTTAAAATTTAGAGCCGGAGTTCGGAGCTATCAAAACACCGATTAGCTCAGGTAGAGGTCAAGAGATATTAAGCGATCGCAGCCGCATAATTTG